CGGCACGAAAATGCAGGGTGCACTTAGAGAACACAGGGAGACCCGGCAGCCCACCCCACAGGCAGCCGCAGGTGCAAGCGTGGGAGTCACGCACGGGTCCGCCCCACCCCCAGCCACTGGCCCCCACCATCACCTCGTGCCCAGCAGGGAAGCCCCCTATGCCAGGGCCCCAGTGGCTCAGCTCTTCCAAGCAGGATTCCACACGTTCGCTCCCAGTTTGAATGCCCAAGAAGCTATTAGTAGTATAATTAGAAATATTAGGGTCCCTGCAGCACAAGGAAAAGGTCAAAACAAAGGGTCCCGGAGGAGACCAGACAATGCCGAGAGGGGAGTAAAACTTCCAAACTTCTTCAACTAATATTGTGAGAGATCAGAAGATGTGGCTTCTCCATATCTTCAAGACAAGAACAGCATGCCATGAAAAAGGCTCAGCAATGAAGAGCACTTCAGAATTAGACGTAGGACAGCTGACATAAAAATGTCAGGGGCAAGGTCGGAATGAGGAAATCTCCCGGAATGCAGAATGAAAGGCAACAACAGCTAAAGGGGGGACCAAGATGACCAGAGACAAGGGTCATTCTCAGAGGACCAACACGCTGGCGGCAGCGCTCCATACGTGAGAACAGGGAACACAGGGAAAATGCAAAAGAAATACCATCCAGACCATCCCAGAAGCCAACTGAAAGGGTCTGAACACTGGGCCTGGGCCCCGTCAGGGGATGCCGCAGGCAGGGGCGAGGCCCAGAGAGGCCTGGCCTGCCCATCTGCAGAGGAGAGGTAGGCAGAGGGAGGGTGGCAGGGGCACGTCCAGGGCTTGGGCAGGGGCGGAGTAGGTCTTGCAGGCTGAGCTGGCTGGGAGAGGGGCTGTAATGTGGGGAAGCCATCCCCAAGAAAGGCCAAAGAGAGAGAGGAAGGGAGAAGCCCTGGGGCTGACCCCACTGGGGAGAGGGCCAGCTTGCCCACCCCCATTGCAACAGGCAGTAGGTGGGACCCAGCCAAGCTGTCCAGCATGGGCCCCACCACCCTACTCCTGCCTACCCGCCCCTGCCGGCCCCTCCCGCCCCCTGCCAGCCTCGGGCCCTCCAGGGGCAGGAGAAGGTGGATTCTGCCCGTGCTGGAGACCAGGAGGCTGCAGCAAGGAGGGAATGCAGGGAGGCAGGGGGCTCTGGGGCCCCTTCCTCGGCCTGGAGGCTGCCACACACAAGCCACAGTTCACAGGCACCCCTGCACCTGGAGAGAGCTGGATGTGGGTGGTGGATGGGCACGAGGTGTGGCATAGAGCCTTCATGGATACAGACATGGCCCTCCAGCCCAGAACAGTGCTGACCAGCCAACCCTGCCCTCTACAGAGACCTGGGCACTTCCCTAGGCCACTTGCAGGTGCTGTGGCTGGCTCGCTGTGGCCTGACTGACCTGGATGGCATTGGCTCCTTCCCGGCCCTGAAGGTGGGTCTGTGGTGCCCTGGGCTAGGGAGAGGGTGCCAGGCCAAGCCCTGGCTGAGCCCCCTGCCACCACAGGAACTCTACGTCTCCTACAACAACATCTCAGACCTGAGCCCACTGTGCCTGCTGGAGCAGCTGGAGGTGCTAGACCTGGAGGGCAACAGCGTGGAGGACCTGGGGCAGGTGCACTATCTGCACCTGTGCCCGAGGCTGGCCACACTCACCCTGGAGGGCAACCTGGTGTGCCTGCGGCCAGGGCCCAGCCCTTCCAACAAGGTGCGTGTGGTGGGCACCCACCATGCACAGGAGGGCGAGGTACTTTGTGCCCCCCCCACCACGGTCTCAGGGGCCCCTCTGCCCACCTGAGCATGGGAGCATCCCCAGGGCACATCTCCAGGGCACGGCCCACCTGCACCCTGTGACTTGTTCACCATGAGCTCATTCTCTTGTATCACTGGAGACCTTCTGGGCCCGGACCAGACCCCACAGGGCCCCACAGGGCCATGTGCACACACGCTGCCCCCCAGCCCCTAATGCACCCACGTGAAGTCTGTTCAGTCTGCACATGGAATCTCACACACACAGGCCCAGTCTGAAGCCCCCTCCGTCCCCCGCAGGCCTGAGCATGCCCTAGGTGGGAATGCACTCATACATCGTGGGCCCATGCACACCCTCCACAGTTGCACACACCCAGCACTGCCCGTGCACACCTGGGGCTCATGCCTCCTGCCCTGCTAGGCTCTGTGCTGTGGGACCGGTGTACAGGGGCTGCCCAGCTGGGCCGCAGCTCTGAGCTTAGGGCAGCCCCACAGGCCAGAGGACACCACTGGGCCCTGGCTGTGAGCCCAGAGAGTGAGATCACATACAGGTGAGAGCCCAGGGTCCCCACAGTCCCTGCTGGGCCAGAGTGACCCAGGCCAGCCCTGGCAGGCTAGGGCCAGCATCGCCAACCCTTAGATCCCCTGCCTTGCCCCACAGAGGGTCTGGAGAAAGCAGCCACAGGATAGAGCTGGCCTGAAGGGCCCACTGGACCCAGGCCTGCCACACCCTCCCTCCTACAGGTGCCACGGGGCTACAACTATCGGGCAGAGGTGAGGAAGCTCCTCCCCCAGCTGCAGGTCCTGGATGAGGTACCAGCCACACACACAGGCCTACCGGCCTCCCGGAAGCTGGACCAGGACTGGCTCATGGTGAAGGAGGCCATCAAGGAGGGCAGTGTCTTGGATGGCCTGCTCCCTGGGCTGGGTATGGCAGCCACTCACCGGCCTTCTAGCAAGGGCTGTCCCACCCAGCCTGGAGACCTTACTGACTGAGCCCCAGAAGAGGTTTCCACCCCCTACCATCCCCAGGAAGAGAGCTCTGTACCCCCAGCACACCCCTAGGCCTCTCAGGGATGGATAGCCACATCTAACCCTTCTCGGCCTGACTCTTTTGTTCCCAGAGCCCTGCATACCTGCCCCCAGGCCAGGATAACCTCCCTGTGAGCAGCACCTGCTGGGGCATGGGCCTCCAGACACACAGATGTTGGGTGGCAGGGGTCCCTGGTCTGTGGACAGTTCTGGGGGAGGGGGAGCTTTTGGGCTGGCCAGCTGGTGTGGGTTTCCGTGACCTCTGATTTTGACCCTCGGGCAGATCATCCCCATGGAGCCCCCATTCAGAGACTCAGCTCCGAGCTCTCCTTGCCTGAGACCCAGCCATGGGCCCCCAGGCCATGGCCCCTCTCCCTACTGGTCACTGGGGGTCCTCTGCCTGAAAGCCTGCTTCCCAAGGACCCAGCTCCAGAGGATGACACCAGCAACCTCACCCATGGTAATTAAGCCATCTCAGCAGCAAGCTGACCCTGCAGCCCCTTAACCCCAAACCAGACCTAGCGGTACACTTTTCTTTAGGTCCTGGCCGAGTCCTCTGTGGGAACCCCACCAAAGGCCTGCGGGAGCGTCGACACCAGTGCCAGGTAGGCCCTGCCACCCCCAGCTGGGTCAGGACTCCAGGACTACCACAGGGGACCAGTGTCCTGGCCTGAGAGTACCCTGCCCCACAGCCACTGCTGGCCAGAGGCCCCAGCTCTCTCACCCCCTCCACAGCCAGATAAGTCCTTCTACCTTCAGGGCACTCCCCACCCAGCCCCCTTGAAGGCTGTGCCCCCATACCAGCCCTCTCTCCCCCTAGGCCTGGGCAGGTCCGGAGCAGCTGCCCCCACACAGGCTGAAGGACCTGGCTGCCTCCGTCCCGGGGCTTGATTCTACAGAGAGCAGTGACCCCCTGGCCTTGGCGAGGCTTCCAGCCTTCAGGGAGCTGCGCCTGCGGTGGGTGCCCCTCACCCCAACCGAGACCTACCACTGCATGTCCTGTTTGGTGGGAGGGCATGACTGGGGACTGCCTGGGTACCCAGGTTGGTGGGAGGGCTGGCCACGGGAGCCTGAGGCTGGGGGATCATCCCAGGGGCACACTCATTTGGAACTGGCTCTAAGGACAGGGCTGCAGCCCCCTCCCCCCACTCTAGCCCCCTCCCTGGTAGGTCCCTGGAGTCCCAGCAAGAAGGTGCCACAGCCCCCTGGGGCCCTTGGAGGGGCCCTGAAGAGCAAGAGAACAAGTCCAGGCCCAAGACTCCCTCCAGCCCCCTATGCCTGGCCCCAGGTATTGAGAGTGACCCCACACACTGCCTTCATCAGCTCGGGCCCCCTTCCTCGGCTGGACTCTGAGACGGGCTACAACAGGGAGGTCCTCTCCTGAGGGGGGGCGCTTACACTTAAGGAATTCCAATCTCAAGTCCTCCTCCCTGAGCCCATGGGATCATCAGGCCACAGGAGCTGGACAGAGGGGGGTGTGAGCAGGGAGTATGGACTGAAAGAGAGGGCAGGGTGGCAACGAGTGGCCAGGACAGGCCCACTGGGCAGGGAGCAGGGCACAGGCCAATGGAGAGAGAGGCTACCAGATGGACCAGACTATGGCAGGGAGGGTGCTACCCTTACCCTGCACATAGGGCCTGTGCTGGCCTCAGGACGCTGGCTTCAGAGTGGCCACGACCGAGTGGAACAAACACAGGGGGACTGCAAGGCAGAGAGACCCCACAGCCAGCAGGGTCCAGGGAGGCTCCCTAAAAGAAGGGTCTGAACTGACTGGTAGAACTGCGTGGGCAAGTCTGGAACAGGGCCTTGTGAGCAGGGGGCAGCAGGTACACAGGCTTAAAGGTTGGCCGAATAACCTTCCTGTGGGTTGGGGAGCCGAAAGGGCCAGGATGGAACCGGGACATGACAGACAAACCCTCTGCCTTCCATGGGCTGGCCGGTGCCTGGGGGAAGGAGGGGCTAGAGAGGGTGGGCCCTGACACCAGCTAGTCAAGAGCTGTCAGCTACTGGGGGGGTGTTGAGGGAGAACAGGCAGGGCAGCCAGGTGGAGAAGTGATGACAGGCAGTGGCGTCTCAGGGAAGAAAAGGGTACTGGAGCCTCCCATTCCAGGCCAGGTCCAGGTCAGCATGGGGTGACCATGGCCATACCGCCCAGTCTGCCCTGAGCAGGGTGGGGGGAGTGCCAGGGCCTCACTCTATAGCAGAGGTTTAGGACCTGGCCCGGGGCCACCTTGGGGTTGGGATCCAGTGACCCAAAGCCAGAGCCCAGGCTTTGTGGCCTCTGCATCCCCAGCAACTATCAGAAGTCACAGGGCTGCAGGGACACAGCTTCCCAGGGGAGCACAGGAAATGGAAGAGAGGGATGCTGCCTTGGGGGGAGTGGTGAAGGGCGGGGGGAGGGGCCACAGTGGACACAGTGGACACTGCCAACCTCGCCTGTGGGGGCCCCCCCACACCTAGTGATCTCTATGGGGGCCTTGTCTGACAAGCTGTCTTTTCCTTGTTCTCCAGAGCCTTCCAGGACTTTGGGCTGTAACCTGACCCCCTCTCCCCCCAAGACGCCCATGCCTTCTGATTCTAGCAACAGTTACTGGGGGTCCACAGGCCTGCAGTTCCGGAGGCGGAGGTTCAGAGCCCTATGTAGCTTAGGGCCTGGCTTAGGGCAGGGACCTGGCCTAGGGCAGGGATTGGCTACAGTGACGGATCTGAGAGCCCTGGAGGTGACCTCAGGCCCAAGCCCTAGAGCCCAAGGATGTCCAGGCCCAAAGCCAGCACCGGATCCAGCAGCCAGATCCCCCCGCCTCCGGTGCATGCCACACCTGAACCCTATCACCCCAGCCCAATCCCACCCCTAGTGTGACCCCCCCACCCACTGCCAAGCTGGCCTGGATTGCAGGCCAAGGAGCCCCAGTGTGGTCATGGGAGCCCCATGTGAACTCTGGCTTCATGGAACCCAGAGCATCTTGGGGGGGGGTGTTGGGGGGTGGCTAATGAGCTTGACATAGGAGAGACCCTTCTTGGTAGAGGAGAGTCAGGGGCTGGGATCGCCAGCCGTAGGCACAAGAAAGATCCCAGGCTAAGAGAGCCCAGGTCCCCAGCACTGGCCCAGCTGCCCACTCCTTCCACCTGACGGCCCAGGCCGAGGTGGCTGGAGCGGGGCCCCATCAGCTCTCTGTCAGGTCCTCCAGATGCCAGGGTGCAGCCAGGCCTCCCATCCCCAGCGGATTTGTGCGGTTCCTCGCCCACGCAGGAATGGAACAGCCAGTTCCCTTCCCTTGGGGCAGGATACCCCCCAGACCACGCGAATCCTCTTCGACTCTCGGGTGTACACATAAATGCCGTTTACTTCGTAGGCGATGTTGGTTCAATAAATTATGCAGCCGGCACTGCCTGCCTCCCACGACTCTCTCCCAGCGCGGCCCCTCGGTCCCTGGTGCCCACCCCCGCGCTGCCCTCCACCCCCTACAACCGAGCTTTCCAGTCGGTGACCGGCGGGCAGGGGAGGAAGCGGAAGCCGTATCTGCTCTCAGCCGTGCTCTGCACCGACAGCGCCACCATCGGGCAGCTCCGGTCCACCCTCTTCCGGCATACCTGGGGGCGCGGAGCCTGAGAGGCGCGCGGGGCTGGGGGGGGCGGGGGAGGGCTGCACGGAGGGGGCAGGGCCGCAAAGGGGCGCGGGACAGCCCGCGCGCGCACACTCACCCGGACCCTGTGCTCCTTCCTAGCCTGGCAGTCCTCGAGGCACAGCCCAGCCTCTGCGGGGAACAATGACGCGATCCGTCAGGCCGGCCTCCCACCTCCCTGGCGGGCTGCCCACCCTCCCTCCGCGTCCCCGCGCGCTCACCGGGGATGGCCGGCAGGAGCTCCGGCGCGAGGGTCTCGGCGGCCTCGGACTGCGCTGGCACCTCCCGTGGGCGGAAGATCTTGCTGGTGCTCAGCGGGGGGAAGAGGACTCGTGTCCTGGTGGGGCGAGGGGGTCGTGAGATCCGGATCCCGCCCGCGGGAAGGGCAGTCCTGGAGAGGAAGGGGCCTGGGGAGGCGGGGGGCCTGGGGGTGGTCTTGAATTACTGGGGGGGGCGAGCCTGGAGAGGACGGGACCTGCGGAGGTGGGTGGTGGCCCTGGTCAGGAACCAGCTTGGGGAGCGGCCTCAGAGGGGACTGGACCTAAGGTAGGGGAATGGTCCTTAGCAGGAAGTCTGGGGAGATGGTTTTTGCAAGGGTGGGGCCTGGGACCAAGGGACCCGCAGTGCCCACCTGGGCCTCCGACGTCTGGCCCGGGCTTCCCGCACCCTGCCCGCGTGGGAGTGTTGAGGCCCAGGCTTCTGCTCGCAGGTGTCAGCCCCATGCCCAGCCTCTGAGAGCAAGAAGCGGTCTATGGACAAATCGGTGTTGTCGGCGAAGATCCTCGAGGTGGGGGACACGCAGTGGGGGGCCTGATGCTTGCTCAGGACCTGCGGGGCCAGCCGGGAGGGGCGCAGCGGTCACCCCCATCCCGTGGAGCTCAACCCCCACCCCACCTCCAGCTGGGAAACACACTGACCTCGCCTTTGGGGTTCAGGAGGAGAGTCACATATCCCCGGCTGGAGTGGAAGTGCACGGGCTCCTGGCCCAAGGAAGAGGGCAGCTGCTTCTTGGTGCTGCGGGGCCCCTCGCCCCAAACCTGGTGGACATCAATCGGGCAGTGGGTGAGGAGCGGTGGGGGCCTGAGCCAGGGCCACGGGGGCTGGCAGGGAGCGGGGCGCACCGTGACATGGTGCCGCGGCGCCAGCAGCGTGCCCAGCGGGAAGCGATACATGCACACGGGGAAGTCGTGCAGGTGCTGCTGCAGCATCAGGCCACCCAGGTCCACAGTCTCCTCCAGCGACTGGTTGAGGACGCGCACAAACCTCTCCCGGCCGTTAACAGCCACGATCTTCAGGCAGGAACCCGTTGGGCTGGGGTGAGGAGCAGGGAGAGTAGGGCACTGTGCAGAGAGACGTGGGCACCCCTCCACTGCGCCCCGGTCGAGACCCACTCCTGCTGTGACCCTACCGGGTCACCCCCTCACCTCCAATGGCGCTCGGAATGTGGGTGCTCTGGATCTGCACAGGACTCCTTCATCAGAACAGTCTTGCCAGGCTGGTCCTGGTGGGCTTTCTGGAGATCCAGAGAAAGGAGACCTGTTGGAAGGGGTACTTCCATATGGAGCATCCACTGTGGACGTCTCATGGGAGGCCCGACCGACCTGCAGCACCCTGAGGGTGCACTTGGGAGAGGAACAGCTCCCGGGGTCAGATCCAGAGCAGGAGGGCTGGACCCTGGAGCCTGAGGGAAGGAGAGGTATAACTCCAAGTACGGGCCTGTGGGGGCAGGGGGGTACTGGAGCCAGAGTGCCGAGACAGCAGCACTTATCATCCAAGACCACCCTAACCCCTAGGGATGGGACTGGAGCGGCCTTGCTCTGGGCAGTTGTGAAGACCAAGCTGTTGGGGGACACGGTGTTTAGGGCTTTGGGCAGAGATCACAGCCTTGCGGGGGGGGTGGTGGGTAACTGGGGAGGCCCGCTCCACTCCACCTTCAGGCTGTGTCTGCATTTCCCTGCTGAGGCTCCTCGAGCGTGCCTCTGTCAGCTCAGAAGAATTGCGGCCTGGCGTGCCGGGTGGGTGTCCTGTCACCTTCTGCATACGGTAATGCTCAGCCAGCTGGCCACTGCTGGAGTCGGAGTCTGCGCCCCCCGAGCTGCTAGTGCCCACGAAGGGCAGGGAACTCCACTCGACACTCTTGAGATGCTGTTCCATGTGCTGTCTGTGCAGCTCCGAGCCCCACTCGTCCAACAGTGGGGACTGTGGGGGTGGCAGGGGTCGTGGGTGCCTGTGGGCCACAGTCTACTGATCTGTTCGCTGCTGCTGGCTTTGGCTTCTAGACTCCAGCCTTGTGCCCATCTAGCCTCCCCAAGGTGGGTGGGGCACCCTGGGACCCGGCCTAGGGAAAAGGCTCCTGGAAGGACCATGAGGGCTCAGGAGCCCTTTCCCTTCACTGTGAACCTCGTCCTACAGATGGGAGAACTGACCTTCGAAGGTGTAAGTCACTTGTCCAGAGACATTAAAGGTAGAACTTGGACTCTGGCCCACATATGCCAAGGCACGCTCTCCCCCCTGCCCTGCACCCCTGGAGGATTGCCAGACCAGCAAAGTTACTTTTGGTCTGAGCTGGACTCGATGTTGATGAAGAGGTTGGGATACCGCTGGGCAATGCTGTTCCAGTCCACGTCCTCCAGCCGGAAACCCTGGTCAGGAAGCAACAGGCATGTGGCCCTCCCCTCCCGCAGGGCTGCCAGCTGTGAAAGCACATGGGGGCCTTGCTTACCTCCCCAGTGGAGGGGCCCTGTTCACTCTCAGAGAGGTCACTGAAGTCCATGAGGGTTTCTGCAGTTACCACCTGCACAGGGGGAGTGGAGGCCAGTGGGCAGGGGCTGAGGGATAGAGCCTCTCTCCTTTGACCTCACCAGCCCCTGAGGCACACACTTGCTCTGCGTCCACTGGGCGGAACCAGGGGGTTCCTCCCTGCCCCGTGGCTTCCCAGGCAGGCCGGGCCCCCTCCTCCGAGCAAAAGCACCTGAAGGAGAGACACTGGCTACCCAGGGGATGTCCAAGGAGGGTTGGGGAGGGGAACACGGGAGGCAGGAAGGTGGGCCGAGTGGGGCTTACCTCCACACTGCCGGTGGAAGATCGTAGTATGCGACCCACCCAGGAGGAGCGGGCCAGCTGCAGGAGGCAGGACTTCTGGAAGGCCTGCAGCTCAGCCTCCAGCTGCTGCATTGTGGTCACGGTCTGCAGCAGACGTTCCTCCAGCTGGGACTTCTCCTGCTCCAGGAGGGTGCATAGGTGGGCAAGGTCTTCTCCAGGTGCCGACCCCCAAGACCAACCCCTACCTGGCCCCTGATCCTCACCCCAGCCTGGGTCCCCTGCCCAACTCCCTGATCCCACCTGCCCCTCACCAGCTGGGCCTGTTCCTTCTGTTCTTTCAACTCCAGAGTCAGCTTTTGGACCTGGTTCTGCAGGAACTTTTCCCGATTGCATGCGCTCCTGGGGGAAGGGGCAATCTCAGCAGCCCCTACCTCGAGGTCAGTAACCAAGGAAGGGAGAAGGAGGGGCCCCTCTTCACTGACATTGGGGGCCCAAGGGCACAGAGTTCCAGGGGCTAGACCAGGTCTGGCTCTGAGAAGTCTGGGTTGTAGGTGGGGTCTAGGTTCAGTGACTAAAAATGTGTTCAGAGTTAGGATCCGGGCACGTTCACAATATATTCACTTTTTCAGGGTTAGGGTAGAGGGTCAGGGTCCAGGTAAGGCTTAGGGCTAGAGGCAAAGGTCAGAGTAAGAATCAAGTTGGAGTGTCAGTCAGGACCAGTGGTTGGGCATGGGGTCAGACAGAACCCAGGAGTTCTGGCCAGGACAGAGGCTGGGTTGGGCTGGGGGACTAGCGCTTGGCTGCTCACCTCTTGGGTGGAAGTCCAGCCACCTCGTGCAGGACGTGGCAATGCCGGGCATCCTGGTGGTTCTGGATGGCCCACCGCAGGGCCTGGATCTCTAGTCCCCGTTGACCCCACAGCAGCCGCAGGGTTCGAGGGTCCAGGGACTCAGGGGCCGACCTGCAATACCAGCGATCAGGCCCTGCCCTCTGGCTGACCAGGCCCAAGTGGCTGAGCACCCCTCCCTCCCTTCCTTACTGCAGGTTAACAGAGAAGACCACCCGGGGAGAGCTGGGCTTGGTGTCCTGTGGGCATGTGGGAGCCACTGATTCTTGGGGTGTGCCAGCTGGAGGCTCCAGGTGGCCATTGACTGGCTCTTGGTCCACCAGGGATAAGGAAGCCTCTTTCTCGGCTCCTTCAGCCTCTTGGCAAGACTCAGGGGCCATCCTCGATGTTCCTGGGGGAGCTGAAAGGCATAGTGTGGCTGTCATTCTTGTGTCCTAGGTGTGGATGCCCCGGTGGGGCTCTCCTTACGTGGCCATGAGTGTGTGCCTATGCCTGACAGCCCTAGACAGTACCATTCCAAAGAGGTCTGTGTGTGTGTACACGCGTGTGTGTGCACGCACCCCACAGGACACTAGACTGCTGGTCACATGTGTGCCCACATCTGTGTGTTTCTGACCAGGACAAGGCAGCAGGTCACCCCCCACAAGCAACATGTCACCTGAGTGTTTGCACATTTCCTGTTGTCATCCCCCTGTCACCCCTGCCTTCTAGGACCTGAGGTCCTGTCCCTCAACCTAAAGCAAGGGTCCACAGAGGGACTGGTCCTTTGCCTGTGATGCCCCCAGACCCAGGGCCTTACCCCCAACACTCACCTGAGGCCTGAAATCCAAGCAGGCCTAGGGAAAGAAAGGCTCTAGAGTGTTGCCATGGATACCAGCACTCAGAAGGGGAGGGGCTGTTTGTTACCAGGAGCTTCCAGGGAAACCCCAGACCAGGGCCTGAGTGAGCCTTGGGCCCACCCCCTGACCCAGCCTGAAGGAGAAACTCTGAAAGGCTGGGTTGTTGCCCAGCTGGCCTTAGCAGGCCCAGGGGACAATAGGGTGACCAGCAGGGCCTGCCATGGTCACACACTCAGTCTGCCGCCCCCAACCAACCTTGAGGAGGCTCCCACGGTCCCTCCCCAGCCTAACTGTGGCAGGTATTGGAGACTGCCCTGGGTATGGGGGCTTACTGGACTCTACCCAGCAGTGAGCCCCTTCTGAGTGCTTCCACGGCATCTTTGCACTCAGAGGCTGATGCCGACCTACCTAACCCCCAAGTCAGATGCCTCTCTTTCTCCAGTTCATCTCCATCACCTTGGGGAGCCGTGGGGACACTCTCATAACTATGACAACAGTTCCCTCTGCCCCAGAACAACAATGAGGCACCAGACCTGACACACAGACCAATGCCCTCCAGCCTTCACCCACCCACCTCACTTTCATTCATTAAGACTCTCAACTCTGCCTTTTTGTAGGACTTCCTGTGCTGGGGAGGATACAGGCAGGCAAGAGGACCCCCCCCATGGCTCGTTGTGAGGAGGCAGAGCAGGCTCTGAAAGCCTGGTCCACAGACAGCACTGAGGCTGTGAGGGACCCTGGCTGCTGAGCTGGCTCGGGTTCTGCCAGGCACAGGGTGCCCGCGTGTGTCCACAACTCGAGGAGACCCTGGGCCCCACTGGGGGCAGGGAGGGGTGGGGGAAAAGAGCCCAGGGTCATTGTCTTGCTTTGTCCCCAGCAACCTCAGGGCAGCCTTCTCCCCCACCAGGACGGTCAGCCTGGCCGCAGCCAGAGAGCACACCGCTCTCCCGCGGGGGCTCCCAGCTCCCGACCCCTGTGCGTCCTAACGACGGGCCCTGAGAGAGCCGGGTCGGTGGGACCCTGGTCTTGGGGGGCCGCGTCTGCCCCTCTGGGTGCACAGGCTACGGGGCCCCCCCACCCTAGGCACCGGCCTTATTGGACTGGGAGGCTTCTGAGGAAGTCGGCCCGGGAGCGGAGCCAGACACCTGTCCCACGCGCCGCCAGCGGGCCGAGGACCCGCTTCCGCGTAGTTCGCGGTCTTCAGGCGTGCGTGGACGAGGCTCAGCCCGCCCCTCCGCGCCGCCGAGCTCCGCCCACACCTGGGCGCCGCCGGGGGCGGGGCGGGCGGGGAGCCAATGGGAGGGGCGGGGCAAGGAGGGGCAGCCAATGGGCTTTGGTTCAGGGCGGGCGGGCGACCCTGGGAGCCAATAGAGAGGCGCGGGGCGGGGCGCTCGGGCTGCGGGCCAATGGAGTGGCGAGCCGGGGCTCGCCCGCTGCGCTGGAGGCGGCAGGTTGCGGCGGCACCCGGCGCCGGGAAGCAGCCGGTTCGAGTCTGCGTCCCGGAGGCCAGCGAGCGCCCAGGTGAGCCGCGCAGGGCCCCAGGTCCTCCTGCGTGCGGGGCGCTGCCTCGGGCGGAAACTCCGATGGAGGGGCGCGGGCTGGGCCGTCGTGGGGGCCGCGCCGCACCTGCAGCGGCTCCGCAGCAGCGACGGCGGCCTGGGGGGCGAGCGCAGCGGCTGGCGGGAGAGAGAAAAGGGCTGCCCGCGCCGGCAAGGGCCGCCCAGGCGCGGTTCCGTGGCTCCGGAGGGCCGAGGTCTGAGTCGCGGGGGAGGGGGCGTTCCCATGGCAGCGGGAAGCAGTGTTTTCGTGAGGGCGCCCTTGGGTGCCTGAGGCCGGCGTCCCGTGGGAGGGGCAGTGCCTTTCGAGCCAGGTGACTGGGAAGGCAGGAAGTTCTGGATCTGGTTAATGATTCGCCTTGTTCCGGGAGTGGGGCGGGGCAAGAGGAGGCTGGGAAGTCGGGGAGCTTCAAAGTGCTTCTGGAGGGCACAATGATTACCCATTGGGGGGCTGGTCTTGACTACCTCCACCCCAACAACGTATGGCCAACGTGTGGGGCTAGGCATAGGAGAGCAGGACTGGCATGGGGAGGGGGCAGTAGCCCTGAACCACTTCTGGAGGTGAGGAGAGGAGGGGCCAGGCGGTGGTGGGGCCAGGCCGGGCCTGACCCTGTGGCCTTTGTCCTCCCTGCATGACAGGGATGCTCTCCGGGCTAGCAGCGATGGAGCTGAAGGTGTGGGTGGATGGCATACAGCGCGTGGTCTGTGGGGTCTCGGAGCAAACCACCTGTCAGGAAGTGGTCATAGCACTAGCCCAAGCAATAGGTGAGTCCTTTCAGGCACAGATGGTCCAACAGGTGCACCTGAGGGGGGGCCTGGCCCTCGGGCCCCTTCTCCCATCGAGGGTGGGGCTGGCTGATGATCCCTCTTGCTCTCCCCTAACTTCTCAAGCCAGGTGAATGGAGGCTGTTGGGGGGAGCATAGGCTGACCTGTCTCCTCCTACCCCAGGCCAGACGGGCCGCTTTGTGCTCGTGCAGCGTCTCAGGGAAAAGGAACGGCAGCTGCTGCCCCAGGAGTGTCCAGTGGGTGCCCAGGCTACCTGTGGACAGTTTGCCAGTGATGTCCAGTTTGTCCTGAGGCGGACAGGGCCCAGCCTCGCTGGGAGGCCTTCCTCAGACAGCTGCCCACCTCCTGAGCGCTGCCCAGTCCGAGCCAGCCTCCCCCCAAAGCCACGGCCAGCCCTGGGCCACGAGCAGCGCCAAGCACTGACCTTCAGCCTGGGGTGCCCTGCGCTGGTCACCAGCCCTGCGCTGCCTGAACCTGTGGCCTCTGTAGCACCAATCCCAGGCTCCTGTGCAGACCTGCAGGGCCTGGAGCGAAGAGTGCGGAGGAACGCAGTGGAGCTGGGTCAAGAGGCCTTCTGGGAGCAGGAGCTGCGGCGGGAGCAGGCACGGGAGCGTGAGGGGCAGGCGCGCCTGCAAGCCCTGAGCGCGGCCACTGCCGAGCATGCTGCCCGGCTGCAGGCCCTGGATGCCCAGGCCCGTGCCCTGGAGGCTGAACTACATCTGGCCTCTGAGGCCCCTGGGCCCCCCTCACCCACAGCATCTGCAACTGAACGCCTGCGCCAGGACCTGGCTGCCCAGGAACGGCAGAGCGCAGAGGTACAAGGCAGCCTGGCCCTGGTGAGCAGGGCCCTGGAGGCCGCCGAGCATGCCCTGCAGGTAAGCCTACAGGCCCCCGAGCCCCTGCTGATGTCCCCAGTGTGAGCAGATTTGGGGGTTGGTCTCAGGGTCAGACTAGGGAGAGCATGAGGCCATGAAGCCCTATGGCTGTGTCCCCTGAGGGCTCCCTGTGCCCCAGGCCCAAGCCCAGGAACTTGAGGAACTGAACCGGGAGCTCCGTCAGTGTAACCTGCAGCAGTTCATCCAGCAGACAGGGGCTGCACTGCCACCACCCCCGCCGCCAGACAGGGGCCCCCTCAGCACACAGGTCAGAGTGGTTCTGGAGGGAGGCCAGGTGGGTGGGAGGCCTGACCCAGCTCCAAGCTGACCTACTCTCCTCATAGGATCTTCTGCCTCCAGCCAGAGAAGAGCCCCTCACAAGAACCCTTCAGAATCCTGCTGTAGTGTCTAGCCTGAGCCCAGAGAGTATGTCGTGTCTTCCCCACTTTGGGTGGGACAGGGTCTTCCTGGGGCCTCCGCAGTCCCCTCAGCCTGTGCCCTCCCCACAGTTGCCCCAATGAGGCAGAACTCCTGGAGGTAGCAGCTCTTGCCCCATAATGGACGTCCACTGCCAGCCCAGCCCTGGGCTCCAATGACACGAGCAAGGGCAGCCAAGGCCAGCCCGACCTGGACAACAGGAGATTGGCGGTTGCAGAGGATTCATTCCCCCATACAGTGGGAAGCCCTGATGCCCTGGGCCCGAGACAGAACACCTCAGAGCCCTGGGGTTTCCGCTGTGGGGGGCAGGGGGAGGCTGAGGACACTTGCCCTAGCTCTTGCCAAGTCTGCCAACCCCCCTGGAGAAGCAGGGGGCGGGACCAGCTCAGAATTTGCTACGCCCCAAAGGCCATGGCTCCTTACTGGGGTTGGGAGATGTGTGGACACTGCTCAGCCTGTGGGTGTGTGCTTGCATGTGGGAGATATCCTTCCTTGAGCCTGCATGCACACACAGGCATGCCGCCTCCCCTACCCCAACCCTAAAACCTCAATAAACTGCCCAGAATGGCTTGAGTGTGTCCTGAGGCTGTACTGGACAGGGTCTGTGGGACCTAAAACTTGAGACCAGCCAGAGTCACTGGGGAGTACCCCAAGCTACCTGGGGCTGGCCACAACCAGGGCTCTTGAGAAGGGGGGGGGGGTCTCCCGGGGACCAGTGGTCAGTTGGGTCCAAAGCTGGGGCTTGTAGGGCCTCACATTTCCAGCTGCTGCACCCAGGGGCTCTCCTTGGCAGCCTCAGCCTGGGTTGAGAGTTGGACAGTGTGGGGGCCTTATCAGCCTCAGCCCTGGTCTGAGTGCCCTCCTCTGGCCTACTCCTCACCAGTAGCAGGAACTGCCACCCCATTGGGATGGCTCCTGGACATGCCATACCTGCCTATCAGGTTTACTGAGAGCTTGTGGGGGCAGGTCCCGACTCCTGGTCGGCCAGGACCAAGGAACTTCACCCAGAAGAGCTGTGTAGGCCCCATGAGGGTGTGCTGCCCAGCCTTCCAACAGGCCCCCTCTGCTTCCCAGGTGGGTTGTGAAGGCTCTGCTCTGTGCCTGCAGCCTCAAAATTAGGGCAGAGTGATGTCCAAATCACGGTCCTGGTCCTGGTCAGGCTGCAGGTCCCACCTGTGAGCACTGTGGCTGTGATGGTCAGAACCCAGGGGCTCGGTGCAACCATGGATATTAGGGAACAGGAAATGGAGGCATCCTAGATGATAGGGGTCTTTGTGCTGAGTTTGGGGTCAGCAACTTTGGGATGGACTCTGCCTTCTGGAGTGGCCCCTGAGCTGGGCCTGGTGTTCCCCACTTCTTTTGGGGCCGACCATAGGGGACATGAAGTCCTGAGTACAAGGAGCAAGGAAGCCACCAAGAGGCAACACCATCAAGAGCAGCTTGTGGGGGAGGGGGGGCAACCAGGACTGGATACTTCCTGCCCAAGATAGAACAGGACCGGGAGCGACGACTGGACAGGCCAGGCAGCAGCAGGGGACTTCTGGCCCAGGCTCCTGACTCCAAAGGCCCCAGCCCTACCCAGCTCCTACCTACGCTCCCACCTGAGCCCACTGTCTACCTCACAGCAGCCCATTCCAGACACGGCCGAGTGCACAGTCACATGGGGTATAGCCTGGAATGCAAATACTGATCGTGTTGTGCCCTGGATGGGAGGGCTGGAGCTATAGGCAGTTACCACCAGGTCCAGGGGTCCTGCTCTCCCCACCCACAGCCCTCACCTGTGCCCAGGTGGGTTGGATGTACCTCTGGGCACCTGCCCCGAGCCCCAGCACAGGGTCATCTCCCAAGCTGAGCACACCGGCCAGCACAGGGCAAAGCCAGGTGCTAGCTGGGAACTAGCCCACGCCCTCCCAGTGTCATGTGCTTTCCCATCCCCCAAAGGGAAGCAGTTCTGATGCTAGCGCAGCTCACACACCCCTGGTCTCCTTTTTTTCAGGGAACACCTGTTCCTTCTGAGACCTCGCCAGGGGACCTGTCCCCGGTCTGCTACTGGCTAAGCTGATGACCCCTTTTCTACCTGGGAAGGGTCCTCAAGTAGCCGCTGTGCTCTAGGGTGGGGAAGGGGGCAGAACCTTCCTCCTCTGTGGCTGTTCCAGGTGGACAAAATCCCATATCCCCCAAAAGTGGCCACAAGTGCTTCAAATCAGTAAGGAAACGTTGGAGTTGCCAAAAAGTTTACTTTGGAGCTTTAAGCTGCACTTTGAAAACAATGATGTGAGCTATGCTGAGCTAAGGAGAGGCCCAGCTCCCCCCTGCCCCCACATATACACATATCCACGCCATGGCAGGGCAGGACCAAGCCAGGTCAGGCCAGTTGCCCAGGCAGGGTGAGACAGGACCCTGCTTGATGTAACTGCAGAAGCAGCCTTCATCACTGTCTCTGTAGGGCCAGGCTGCATTGGGGGATGGCACTGGAGCTCCTCCTGACCTCCGAGTTCTGCTCACCCCCAGTGCAAAGGTACTCTTGTGGGTTGGCTGAGAACACTGGGGGTCACCCACAGCAAGTCATTGCCCTGTGGCAGCCAATCAGCTCCACGGGTTCTCAACCCTAAGGCCACCCACAACCTTGCTGTCTCCTGCAGAACCTGCCCTGCCAAGCCTACTGGGTGTGACCCTCAGTACACCACAGTGACCTTTAGGACAGGCTCCCTCCAAACGGGAGTCCAAGTCCATGTAAGGCCACAGCTAAGGCTGCCTCTCCTTCACGCTGTGCTGACAACTGCAGCCCCAGCTCCAACCATCAACCCCCACTGTCTGGGAGAGGGCCTGTTGCAGACATCCTGGCCCCTGCATGCCTGGAGGCTGCTCCAGGCGTGCTCCCTGACCAGCAGATTTTCAGAGTGGACTGAAAACCCCCAGCAGAGAAGCAGGCCCTGCAGACAGGCTGGGGGCTCTACTAGGTGCCCCCACTTCTGGGAGGGCATGTCGCTGGGTACAAGTAGGTCCTTGGCATTGACTCCTTTAGTGGCCTTAGTTGAATCCGTCACCATCTTCCTTAAGAAAGTTTCCAGAGGTGGTCCTTAAGAGACAGGTAGTAGGGGCTCCGATCCTGAGGGCCAAGGGTCTGACCACGACACCCGTGCCTGCCCAGGGCTGCCCTCGGCTTGGAAACGTTCAGAAGACCATCCCAGCAACTCTGCACATCCTGGCACCTGAGACACACAAGGAAAAGAAAAGTTCCCTCCAAGGGCGCATTTGGCCCAACCTGAGCCCTCTCTTGTGGAGGGCTGTTAAGCCCCACGATGTTTCCCCTTCCTCCCCACCGCCCCTGCTGAGCGCCGACAGGCAGACTCGGTCCACAGGGGCGCCCTCGCCTCTCCCCGCCTTGTTGCTCGCCCTCCCACCTGGTCTGGCTGTTCCCTGCCCGACACAGCAGGGTCACAGAGGGGCCGAGGCGGTCGCGCTGCCCAGGGACAGATCAGCCGCTGTCACACGCACAGTGGGTCCGGAGCAGCGCAGTGTGCGGTGGGCAGTGGCTGCCCTGCGCCTGGAGGCCACCGGGTGGACGGAGGGGCCGTCCCCCACCCCCGACCCCTCCTTCCCCTCCAACTTGTGCGTCCGAGCCCCACCGCACCAGCCCGGCCCGAGCCCCCGCCCGCCGGTCTGGGACCCCTCGCGCGTAACCTGCAACCGCGACGCGGGGCCGTCGCCGGCTCTCAGCCCAAATTCGGCGGCGGCCGCTGGCCCCTGACGCCCCCGACCGGCCCCCGACCGCCCCGCGCCCCGCGCCCGGCCCGTATGCAAATATGCGGGTCTCGTAGCCAATGGCCAGCTGGGCCGGGCCCGCCCTGCTGCGCCCCAGCCAGTGGGCGCGAGGTGGGAGCGGGTCGCCACGCCCACCGCCGCGCGGCCACTCGCGGGCGCGGCAGGCGCGTTCCTTTCCGCACGTCGGCCTCGGGGCGGGGCCGCCACCTGCCGGGCGGGGCCTGCGGGCGCCGCGCTGGGCCGTGCGGGGCGTCTCCCCCGCCGGCCGGGGCGGGTGGTACGGCCCGAGGCGCTCCCCCGCCCTCGCGGCGGGTCGGCAGCTCCCGGGAACGCGCGGGGCTGGGGTGCACGTAGCCCTGCCGCACCCTCGGGACGCCCGTGGGGCCCGCGTTGCTCGCGGCCCCCGCGGAGCGCTGTGGCTGGCGGGCGGGGGATCCGCGGTGCCCCGGTGGGATCCGTCTCCTTGGAAGGCTCGGAGTCCGAGTCCGGAGGGGACACGGCGCGGGGCGCAGGGCCATCGGTGGTTTGCCCCATCCTGTCTGGGCTTTGAAAAAGTATAAAGCATGAGAACAGAATGTTTCGGACCTGGAGTTATTGACTCCTGGGTGGTGCCCCAAGGTGGCAGCCAAGGGAGATTTGGCCCTGGCCCCCTTCCCTTCACACTCCCCTCCCTGCCTCCATGGCCAAAGGGGACCCCTGAGGCAGAATCAGGGGACATGCGGACCCCTAATGAGGTAGAGAGATGCTTGCTCCCCTTTTGTTCCTGACACAGGAGTCCTCATAAGCCCTCTGTGCCCCTCCAAAGTAAGCCAGAGCTCCCCGCTTTCCCTCACCTCACTCAGTCTCAGCATCTGCCTCAGACCCTGGCCCTCCCTAGAGGACCCTACTCACCTGGTTCCAAGGAGCTTTGAAGGAGCCCTCCACTCTTCACTGCCCAGGGGCTGTAGCCCTCAGCCTCAGCCACCCTGGTCCCTGGTGGTTCTGCTGTGGCCCTCCTGGCCTCTACACCACCTGCTCCTGGTTCTCCCTCCATTGACTTCCCTGCGTCCCAAGTGCGCAGAGGCTGGAGCCCAGCAGGTGCCACAACCCCAGCACAGACCCTGCTGCACCCTTCCCATCAGCATGGTCACTTCATTTCTTCCTTCAAAACCATTGCCTAAGTGGCTAAGTGCTGAGACTCCAGGGAGGCCTGGGACATCAGGAGCCTGAATCCTGCGGGTAGAAATTCAAGGCAGGATGTTGTGGGTGTGGCCACCTATGGGTGGGGAAAGAGCACAGAGGAGCAAGGAGCTGGCTCAGTTCTACTGGCTGTCAGAAGTGGAGGGGTCAGCAAAGCCTGGATAATGTGATGTGGAAGGAATCCCTAGGAATCTGCAGGATCCCTGAGGAGGCCCACACCTTCAGGACAGGATAGAGGTTTGGAGGAAAGAAGTCTGGGGTTTGGGGACAGAGAGAAGCCAAAAGTCAGGGTGACTCTGAGTTCCTGCCTTGCCATGACTGGTATGACTTCCAGCTGTCCCCCAGTCCTGGTTCCAAATGCA